CTCTCTCTCTCTCTCTCTCTCTCTCTCTCTCTCTCTCTCTCTCTCTCTCTCTCTCTCTCTCTCTCTCTCTCTCTCTCTCTCTCTCTCCTTCCCCCCCCCCTTCCTTTCTCGCTCTTGCTGTGACTTAACGAATCGAACAGAGCTTTGCTTGACTTGTCATCGTATGCTTCCACTTGATTTTTTTTGTAGAAAATGGGTATGCGGCGCTTTGACCGAGGGATGAAGATGTGGCTTGCGTCAGACGGTTCCTTTGGAAAGGAGGGCAAGCCTGCGACTGGAAACATCTGGCATAAGGTTCGTCTCACGTAACTCTCTTGATGTCCTTCTCAGTCCTCACGTCGGGAAAGGGAAAAAAAAAAAAAAAAGACCATGGTTGTCCTGTGCCGTCCTGGTGAGTTCGCTCTCTTTTTCTCTCTCTACCTTCTTGCATGCATCTTCCAACCAAGAGACCTCTGCGAAGTGAGTCACGTGACCCGTCGAGCTGGTTCTTGTATTGTGGTAGTTGAAGGAAAGTTCTGCCAACTTAGGGGCAGGTTGGTGGTGCTATGTTTGTGCTTCGAAACAATGCACTTGGTCGTAAATGTGGCCTGGATCATGCGTTCATAGCATGCACTGGACTCTTTTCCAAGGGAAGAGCTCACAGCAAAGCAATAGCAGCAGTCAGTCACCCAAACAGCAAAGACCAGATCTTAACATGTCCCTACATTCTGTGAACAAATCGAAACTAAAAAATGAACCTGGTCGTAATGAAGGAAATATTTAGTGTCAGATCTTGCTGGTGCTATGTCACTGCATGGAAAACATGAACCTGGTCGTAATCATGTTCATGTGCATGCTCTGTTAGCATGAACATAGTGTCAGTTGGGCCTGGCCCTCAGTGTCTCACTGAGTTCTCTGCAGCCAATAGCAATCACACAAAAGCTGCCAGGCCCTACTGGTGCCATGTTCGTGCTTGGGAACCATGAACCTGGTCGTAATCGTGCTCATGTGCATCCTCTGTTAGCATGAACATAGTGCGAGTGGGGCCTGGCCCACAGTGTCTCACTGAGTTCTCTGCGGCCGCCAGCAATGACGCTAGAACTGCCAGGCCCCACTGGTGTATGTTCGTGCTTGGAACTCGTGAACCTGGTCATAATCATGTCCATGTGCATGCTTTGTTAGCATGAACATAGTGCCAGTGGGGCCTGGCCCACAGTGTCGCACTGACTTCTCTGCAGCCACCAGCAATGACACTAACTGTCAGGCCTGGCCGACAGTGGCTCAAGTTGCATTCACAGGGCAGCTATGGCCGCTGTCACCAGCCAATCTCTCTCTCTCTCTCTCTCTCTCTCTCTCTCTCTCTCTCTCTCTCTCTCTCTCTCTCTCTCTCTCTCTCTCTC